TCCCCAATGCTACGTAACACAGTGCGGGGGCGTGAGGACAGCTGCATGGGTTTGCAGGGGCTGAGCCTTTTGAGAAGCCAAAGAATTGCCTTTGGGGGCACAAAGCCACACGAGAGCCTGCTGGCATCCCTCCCTGGGCACCCTGCTGCTGATCCAGCCTCATTCCCCCCCCAGGCCACGTGCTGTTCTGGGTCGAGGTGCGCACCCCTCAACGCGGGGGATGAATGGGTCGATACTACAGCCCCGGCTCTCCAGGATGCTCCCAGCTGGGTTTGGACGCTGGCCCTGTGGGCTCCTTCCCTGCCCTCGGGGCTGGCTGCTGGGGCATCAGCTCCTCCAAAACCAGGCTTAAAGCTGGTGGCAGGTTGTTTGGGCACCAGGTGCCTGTGAGCTGTGCTAGAAACTCACTGTGTCACCCTCTGGACCCCACCACAGCCAGTTTGGACAGGACCTACTGCCATAGCAGTGGCAGCGGAAAGGTCCCTTTGGGGGCCGTGCACATTGTGGCTAAGACCATCATGGCCAAGACAAACTGGGGGTGTTCCCCTTAGTACATGGTGGCGGGGCAGTCCCTGAGGAACTGCCCCGTATCCATGTGGCCATTTCCCACACACCCTGTTCTCCCTCCAGCCCTTTTCTTGCCAAAGCCTTTGGTTGCAATGGGGATTGCCTGTAAAACCCTTGACATGTGGTTCTGATGCTGCTCAGCCACCTGAAACCCCAAGCCAAGTCCAGCGGTGCTTCGTGAGCACGGGGTGCTCCCCTCCTGTCCCGGGAAGCCAGCTCTTTATTAGAAGAACGCCTCGGGCTGGAGGGGTCGTGCCAGGCTGAAGGTGCCGAGAGGTTTTTAGCTTCAGAGACAGCTGGATCCCACACAGACAGGAGGTCGAGATGCTTGGCTGGAGCCCAGGAGCTGGATGGAGTGTGTGCTTTGGTGCTGGAGCATCCCCTCCCTCACTCTGGAGCTTGTGTCATCGGCAGGGACCAGCACGCGGAGGTCCCTGGCCAGCTCCAGTGCTCAGGAGCTGAGCACAGGGACTTAGCAAAGGAGTGCTGAAAAACATCCGTAGGGTGCTGTTCCAGCTGTGGCCCCCTCCCAGATGTGCGAGCTCATGTGCCAAGTGTGACGGGCAGCCCAGGATGTCGGTAGCTTAGGGGCTTGGCTGGGACTGGCCCAGTCCCAGTCCAGCTGGGACTCAACTGGACCGAGCCTGGCTGCCCCGGGACGCTGGTAGGGTGCCTCTGGTGTGCTGCTGGCGCAGGGAGACAGCACCCGCCTGTCCTTCCTCTGCCAGGGGCTGCCCCAAAGCCCCCACCGCACATTGGGAAATGAGCTGCCAGTGTGCTTGGAGGGGGAAGGGGGCTCTCGGTAGGGATGGGGGCTGTAGTGTCTCTTTGGTCACTAGCAAACAGCCTTGCAACCTGCCAGCAAACGTTGGCATAGCTGAACCTTTTTCTAGGTCTTGGTTCTTACGGGAAGGCAGGAATTCCAATTCCTCATGGTGTACATCTGTGTCTCCCCCAGGGAATAACCACAACATCGACAGCGTGATATACAGGTGGAACCCCAGGACAGGGTTGTTTGAAACCAACCAGACCATCCCTACCTCTGGAGCCTATGACTGGGAATTTTTCACCATTGGACCGTATTCCTTCCTGGCTGTGGCCAACACATTCAATGGCACGTCCACTAGGATCTATTCTCACATTTACATCTGGCTCAGTGGCTCTTTCCAGCTCTTCCAGTCTATCCTGGTAAGATAGAGGGTTTTGAGAATGGGTAACTTCCCTGCTGCACCTCCAGCAGGTCCCCCCCACCCCTTGCACTACCCTTGGCTTGCAAAGCCTTGTCCACATCCAGCTCCTCCTGTGGGTTCTTTCCTCACAGACTTTCGGTGCTGCCGACTGGGAGGTCTTTCATATTGGGGACAGAGTCTTCCTGGCTGTTGCAAACAGCCACAGCTACGACAGCGGGATGCCGGTGCCCTCCAACTTTTACGCCATCAACTCCTCCATCTATGAGCTGAACATCACTGCCCAGATGTTTGTCAAATTCCAGGACCTCCTCACCTACAGGTACCTGTGCAAAGAGTCGGGGCGCTCCTCAGTCCACATCCTTCCCCGGAGGTCTCTGTGAGAGTCTGCAGGCTCACATGGGGATCAAGAGTGGTGGGGAGGGTGACGGGTGACAGGTCCTTGGCACCAAATCCCAGTGGGAGCTAGGAGAAGGTGGTCCAAGGCTACTGACCTGCCCCTCTGCTCACTTTGTCCCCAGCGCCCTGGACTGGGAGTTCTTCTCAGTGGGAGATGACTCTTTTCTGGTGGTAGCAAACTCCTTCGATGGCTTCACCTTCTCCGTTAACAGTATTATCTACAGGTACTGCTGTGGGGAGAGGGCAGGGTTGGGTGGGTGGAGGCTAATGACCCTGCTGGGAGCCCAGCACAGAGACAACCTCTGTGGATGCTGGTACATCTGCCCAGGGAGGATGGACAGGAGTGCTCCCTGTTCCTGGAGAGGTTTCTGGGCAGGAACAAGAAGCCCCAGGGAGGGACATCCCACCCTGAACCACAGTGGGGAGGTGGGAGATGCCAGCCCCATGGCTCGGCTTTCCTGCCCCTTTTTCAGGTGCCCAGCTTGTGCCCCAAGACCTAACTGCCCTCCCCATGCAGGTGGCAAGGCTACGAAGGCTTCGTGGCAGCTCACCACCTCCCCACTGTTGGCTGTCGAGACTGGGAGGCATTTCACACCGCTGAGGGCTCCTACCTCCTCTACTCCAGTGCCAAGGAGCCACTTTCCAAGGTGCTCAAGCTGAAAACCACCTGAAGTGGCCGAGACATGCTCAGCTCATCACCAGGATCGGGGCGAGCTAGGCATTGAGGTGAAGATGGACCACAGCGCCCAGGGACAGCCACAGCATTGGCCCCATTGTGATAGATGGGGAGGAGGAGGAGAAGGAGAGGAGCTCCAGGGCTCCCTGCAGCCTTGTCAGGGGGCTGGCAGAGGGGCTGCCCCCCTGCTTTTCTGCCATTTCTCCTGGGCACGGTCTCCTGCCACACTCCAGAACCATATCCTACCCAGGGTGCCTGGAGTCCAGACGCTTCCTCGGGCTCACCAGGACCCCAGCGCTTGGCACTTTCCAAGGAGGGGCACAGTCCTCTGGGTCCTCCAGTCTCCGGACGGACCAAGAACTTGTTGTTTGCATCCAGAGCTCGTGCAAAGCCAGGGAAGAGAGACTGACCAGAGCATGTGCTGCCAGGGTGGGTGCGTGGCAGCGGGGAGGAAACAGCGTGTGAGAAATTGGGGGGAAAAGGTGGCTTCGGGCTTGGCTCTGGCTGCCCAGTGCCTGGGGCTGCGATGCTGCTGAGGACCTGGCTGGTTCAATATCACATGCCATGCTTCATGTCCATCTCCAGTGGCCTCGCCACCCCATCACGCTGCCGTGGGCACCTGCCCACCCTCCCCGCTCTGCCGTGGCCACTGTGGGTCAGCCTCACAGAGTGACAGATGTACATTGTGCAAATCCATAGGTGGGTCCAAGGACCGATGCTGGTCCTTGCGCCCCTTTGCATGAGGTTAGCAACTCTGGAGCAAACCTGCTGTGCATTGGGACCAATCCAGCGACCATGGGAAAGCCCCCAAACTGCTCCAGGTGACACTGTGGCCTCTTTTCTTTTCCTCGCCTTTGGCCAGGGGACTCTTTTGCTTAACCAGAGCTCTAATAAACTGTGTGCACCCAGCCTTCATCCCACGTGCACCCATGGCAGAGCCTTCCCTCCATTCAACAAGCCTCCCCCGAGCAAGACGGGGCCGTGTTGGTGGCCTGTGAGTCTGAGGTGACCCTGAGGCCAGAGGGGTGCTGGGGTGTGGGTACCCCTCTGCCTCCCTCCACCCAGGACCCTCTGCCTCTCCCGACTGGCCCAGAGCATTGCTCAGGCTTCCCTGGCCCCGGGTTTCTTGTTGGGTTTCTTCCAGTGCTGAGGAGCCTGCAGGAGGTGCCAGCCCCCTGACAAAGGGATGGGGGAGCACAGCCTGAGCCCCCTGGGGGTCTGGGAGATCCCCTGAGATCTCCGTCCTCCCCCAGCCCTGCCAGGAAGGATAATTTCTTTTGCTTGTGAAACAAGGCAGAACTCAATTTGCTTCTGTTGTGCTGAGCCACAAGCAGCATCTTTAATTTGGCCCAGAGGAAAGGCAAGATAAGGCGAGACGTACCAGATGAGATGCAGAGGCACCGTTCGGCCAGCTGGCCCCTGCTCGAGGGGCGGAGGAGATGGAACCTGAGGGGAGTCTAGCGGGGACATTGAATTTGGGCTTGTCTGAGACTGAATTAGGACAAGCGCAACCCTCTCAAGCACCACTGCCCTCCCTGGATGCCCAGCTCCCAGTGCAGCACAAACCCCAAGGGCTTTTCCTACCTACTTACGGGGCTTCATGGAAAGATTAAAGGTTTGGGAGGTTGCCCCCAGGCTGGCAGTGGGCAGTGATGGGCAGAGGCTGCCAAGATGCTGCAGGGGGGCTGGGGCTGATGTTCTGTGGGTCCCTCACTGGAGCCAGGACAGGGTGACCCTGCTGCCCGGAGCCCCTCATCCCTCTGCACCCCAGGCTCTGGGGACCTCCTGGCCCCACAAGAGCCTCTACCCTCATCTGTCCCACCCCCAGGGGCTTATTCTTGCCAAACCACGTGGACCGTGAGCACGTGGCTGGGGCTGCTTTCCCTGCGATCCCGGCTCTGGCAGGGAAGAAGGGGTCTGGGGGCTGGGGGGATTCCTCCTCGGGAACCCGGGCTCCATAGGCAGGTCCGCATGGTGTGTCCCCAGCATCCCTCCCCCCCGTCGTTTGCTCACACTCAGTCCAGCATTGCTGGGGAAGGGGTGAAGTCAGTGGCAGTCATTTGCAGGACTGGAGCAAGCACTGGGAAAATCCCACTGAGAAGCTTTGAAGCCCACCAGGTTGCTGCTGGCTCCCTACAAAGAAGCTGGGAATGGGGTGCCCCAATCCTGCACTACAGGGTGGTGCTGGTAGTCTCTGCGTGGCCCTGGGTGCTCGGCAGTGACTTCAGGTACTCCACATGCTTGCAGGCGTCCTCGCGATTGTGCCGGACGTAGCAGATCACGTAGACGATGACCATGGCGAACCAGCCGAACATGGTGATGAACATGGCCACGTCCGTGGTCCTCTGACGCACGCTGCAGAAGTTGACGCCAGCATCCAGGACCTGGAGCAGCGGTTTGCCCACGTATTCTTCCTGTGGGGCCGTGTGGCAGGTGATGTCCTGGACGGAGTCGGGGTCCAACCGTGCCTCCCACAACACCTCCTGCAAGGCACATTCACAGTGCCAGGGGTTGTTGGCCAGCCGGAGCTTGGCGTTGAGTGCCAGCAAGGCTTCCTTGGGGATGCTACGGATGCGGTTGCTGGAGAGGTCGAGGGTCCGCAGCCCGGCAGCCACCCCTTTGAAAGCCGCCCTGTCGATCTTCTCGATGGCGTTCCTGGAAAGATCGAGCTCCTCCAGGTGAGAGAGGTGCCTGAAGGCGTTGCTGGGGATCCTGGTGATGCTGTTAGCATCCAGCTTGAGGAACACCGCGTCCCTGGGGATGTCCTTTGGGATCTCCTCCAAATGCCGGGAGCTGCAGAGGACGGCCTTCGCCCCTGCCCGCTCCGTGCTGACAGTTCTGTGGTGGCTGCAGCAGCTCCCAGGCAGCAAAGCGGCTCTTCTGCGCTCCCACAAAGCCTCTGCCATGGCTGGAGGAAAGCGGTGGGTGGAGGGGACGTGACATGGCATTGTTTCCTGGAACGCTGCTTACGGCTCATGTGGAATGTGCCCTGGCAAAGCGGGGAGAGGCTGGGCTCAGGAGCCCAGAAAACGAGGGTAGGATGATACTGGCTGCCATCTTTTCCAGCACAGCTTAATTTGACTTAATTATACCTGGACATAGAGACTAACCCCCCCAGCCCCCCACCAACTCACTGCACAGACCACCCAAGCAGGCAAAGGGTGCTGCAGGATGGGGGTGTCGAGCCTCTGCCCCAGCCTGCTGCCAGTTTCCGTGTGGGATGCAGTGATTTGCTGCTGGAGAAGAGCGGCAGCAAATTCCTGTTGCACCAACCTCAAGTGTTAAAAAAAAAATGATGAGTCAAACTCCCTGGATCATCAGACTGCCTTAATCATCACCAGGTTTTTAAATAACAAGATGTGGAGGTTTTTTTGGTTTCCCCAGCTGGTCCATGAGCCAGTAAAAGTCACGTTTCGAAGGGTTTTGCGAAGGAGGGGTTTGGAGGTTTCATTTTTTTAAAAGTAAACAAGGAACATGGTTTAACAGCCTGACTCCAGGAGCTGGAGCTTAATAGAGGAGCCACTGTCACAGTAAAGGGGGTGATCTGGGAACCCCAAGAGCCCCCCTCAGCCCCACTGGGGATGAGGCAGGCAGTGACGCAGGTGGGCTGCCTTCCCTCTGCCCCTTGGTGCTGCGCTCACCTCTCCTGCTGCCTTGGTCAGGCTTGGGGGGCAGAGATCCCCACGGAGGTGAAAGTTGGGGGGTGGGACCCTAGCAGGCCCAGGGAGCCTTTCACCTGGGAATGAAATTGTTTGCGGTGATCTCATTAGGAGACCAGCTGGGCACTGAGTCGTTATCCCTCTGGTACCAGCATCCTTCTGCTAATGGCATCCCCCTGGAAACAGCAGCCTTTGGGTACCAGCATGTCGCGGGGCTGAGCATCCTCAGGCTACCACCCGGGGGACGCTCATTCCTCAGGGATGCTGCCGGGTGGGGACCTGCTGTGGGGCTGTGCAGTGGACTCTTCCATGGGACATTAAATCACGCTGCCCGGGAAGCCCTCTGGCCCTACAAATGCTACTGGGGGCTGCC